ATACCCATCCTTAGATATTGATCCCTCTCTATATGTATAGATCCCAGAGCTACAGGCTCTGCAGCTTTGGGACAGGTGGGAAAACCTTCCCCTTCGTAGGGGAGGAGGAAATAAGTAAACGGTGGAGAAGAGACCCAGAAACGCCCTGCCATCCGTGATATGTGGATGTCGTACCACTCAGGCACCGGGTAAAACACACAGAACAGGCTTAGATCGCGCTCGTTATTCTAATGCCTTACTAATAGCTTGGGTTTTATAACACAAATTGTGTCATATGCTGCAACGAGAGCTTGCTTTCTTTCACCTGGGACTATGATAAGGTTCCTTGGGGCCTTTTGCCTTTTTTTTCCTCCTCTCATTAAGCTGTAAAGCCTTTCACACTGATTACTCTAGCGTTACTTTTTCAAAACAAAGAATAAATGACTTCTATGAAGCCATTCATTCACATACGTAAGTTCAGGACGTTTTGTGGGACCATACTAAGTTTTAAGCTCCAGATTTAAAAATTCTCTTTTAGGCACCATATAGATTTAAAAAAAAACAGGCTTTTTAAAAAATTTGTAACTGAAATGACTCATTTAACTCTTTATATAGATATCACAGATGAATGTTAAAGGTAACAGGGCGACCTCTCGTTAGTGAGCATGGCCTAACCACGCAAGGAAGGCAGCTGGACGGGTTATCCCGGCGCCCTCCAAAGGCTGGGTGATTACTGACCGGGCTCATTGCATGTAACGCGTGCAGCTCGGCACCTGGCGCTCCCGCTTCCCGCGGACCGGCTCGGCCGCGGACACGCACTGCGTTTTCCGCGCGCGCTGACCGCACCGAGCCCAGCCGTCCCCCGCCGCAGCCGCCTCCCACCTTACTTCGGCTCTCGCGCAACTACACGGCCGCCGCAGCAACGGCAGAGGTCTCAAAGAAATACTCAGTTTTCCTTAGACGCATACATCAGTCAGCACGATTTTTTAAATTTATACCTGTGCTATTCTGCTTTTCATTCAGTTTATGCACCATATAAATAAAGTTCTGGCTGGCTGGACTCAGTGCTGTCTAAAAACACAGAGATACACCGGAAAGGCAAAAAGCTTTCCTTTAAAAGCATACACCAAGGAATTCAAAATATAAAGCATTCACATTATAGGGATGAAACCTAGAATTTCTTTTATACACATACATTTATGTAGGTATGTAAGAGCTGCATGCAAACATTAACCTATCCAACTGCAATAAATCGTGTGGCTCAGTGATGGTAATTGCACAACGCGAGGGCCGACCCCACAGGGGATCACGAGACAGCGAGCGAGCCCAAGCCGGAGCCACGAGCAGAGGGCACCAAGGCTCAGCTCTGGGGTGGGCACCCGCACGCGAGGACGAGGAGGATGAGGAGACGGCAGCACAGCCACGTGAGCACGGGGAAGGCTGACCAGGGTGGAAATCCAACCCAAAGGGGAGTGAGGGGGGAGCGGAGGAGAGCGATGGAGACCAGAGGGATGGTGGGAATGGATGTCTCCTGGGGAGGGACGCGCGGGAGAGCAGAGGACAACAGGGCGGCACACCTACCTTGAGCAGCTTGCAGCGGATCTGCGCGGAGACCATGTGGCTGTTGCGCAGGTTGCCCACCCTGAACATGAGGGTGAGCTTGCCATCCCGCATGGAGATGGCCGCGTGCTCGCTGAACATCAGCGTCTCGGCCCTCTTCTTGGGCTGAGACATCTTGATGAACATGCACCCAATGAGGAAGGCATCCACAATGGAGCCCAGGATGGACTGGAAGAGGAAGAGGATGATGCCCTCGGGGCATTTGTCCGTGATGTAGCGGTACCCATAGCCAATGGTGGCCTCAGTCTCTATAAAGAAGAGGAAGGCAGAAGGGAAGTTGTAGACATTGGCCACACAGGGGGTGTAGCTGTCATCGTGCGCCTTGTTCAGGTCGCCCCGCATGTAGGCGATAACCCACCACATGGAGGCCATGAAGAGCCAGGCCACGGTGTAGGTGAGGATGAAGATGAAGAGGTTCCAGCGCCACTTGAGGTCCACCAGGGTGGTGAAGAGGTCGGAGAGGTAGCGGCTGGTCTCGCCGCCCAGGTTCCCGTGCTGCACGTTGCACCGCCCGTTCTTGTCCACGAAGCGCTGCCGCTTGCCCCG